CGCTATATGCAGATGGGCGGTGTTTCTAGCGCGTATGCAAGCAACGGACTTCGCTATAGTAAAATATTCTTTCGTGAGCATTTTTTCTATAAAACAATGAAACTAAATCGAGTTTTGAGTTTGATGTATCTCTTGTGCATCAGCGCTAGATACGCAGAGAAAAATAGGCGGTTTTTTCCGCTTTTTTTCAAGTGTTTGTGCTCACCCACCGAGACATGGCCCACCCCACTTTTTTAACGAATTTCAGGCGGTAGGGGGGTGGGCGATGACTCGGGATATTACGGTAGTGATATCTTCCACAATATTTTTTGTCGGAGGCTAAAGAGTTTCTGGTGCCCACCACAAGTAAATACTAAAGATCCGTTCGTTGTAAGTAAGTTCAATAAAAGACGGCGTCATTTTAATTAATACAAACACTTGTCACCAGACACGAACCTACCGCTCTGGACTGGGGTTGCTATCGCGAACACATACAACAATTCGAACACCAAGGCTTCGTTCATAACTGATTATAATTTAAAGATTCGTACCGGCAAATTTCCGTCCCAAATTATTAGGAGTGAAATAATCCAGGCTTGTACAGGAGAGTTGTATGAGTTTAGGACATTTTGGTGTCGTTACGTTTCGGTGCAGGGCATGTCGATGGGGTTTAATAACGCACGGGCTTTTCTGTGCACAAACGTTCCGGTGGGCGGATGTTTGCTGTATGAACGCTTCAATAAACACGCCTAACATTACTTGTTAATATTCACGTTTTTATGCAGAGAAGATAATGTTTCTAAGACTAACACATCCCAGTTATATGGTTCGTTTTTCTTTTAGATAAGAATAGCTCTTTAAGTGCTACAGAAGTTGTGTAATTAACTAAGTAATCAACATCCAGGAAAAACAAACATAAGGTTCAATGCAGATTTTCGAAATACATAAATTCTTTGGGCGTATTTATCTAGATTTGAGTAAAACATTTCGTGATAATAAGACACATGCACAACAAGATGATTTCATTTGTGATTTGTGTGTTGAGACTGATGAGTCTCGACCATTATCCTCCTGCTTCAAAATATCAGAGATAGCACAAGTAATATTACTCAAGCATATATCTGGCATCCCTTTGTTCGAAGAACTCTTTTATAACCGCTCTTTGCCAAAATACCCTCCAGTCTAACCTCGTCTGTCGGAATTAACTGGTACGCAAAGACCCTTGACCGTGACTTTCTCGCAACTCGAAAGCTGAACCGACCAAAACGGCCAGAGTCAACAATGACTTCGCCCACAAACCTTCACAATACACGCGCCATGGCCGTCAAGAGTGAATGAGTCACCTAAATTCGGTAAGTCTGACTCCGAGGGTCGCTGTAATACTAAACCGAGGTCAGACATAGCCCAAACCCAAACATCACCTCGCGTGCGTGCTCGAAGAAAAGAAGAAACAAAACAAGCATCCACTCCAAAAACGAAAACCAACTTAAAAAAAAGCACACTAATCCGAACGCACGGAGGTTACAGCAATACCCCCTCTGCAACCTTCTGGGCATCCCAGTGGATAAGCGGGGTCCAAACAACAATACAACGCGAGAAAAATAAAAATATCACGAAAAATACGCTGGAATATTGTGACAGCGACTCATTTAGTTTTCCTGGAATTCCTTCAGGAAATCGGGAAGCAGATTCTCGTGGAAGTGGGCGGGACTTTCACGTGCCCTGTTCTTTTAGAACCTAATCATTTGAAGTAGTTGGTTTTGAGCCGGGTCATGTATAGAACCTGGCTGTCAAAATGGGACATGCGCAGGATGCAGGGATTCCTGGTTTCGCTATTCACGTCGATCTATAGTACCATTTTTGAATATGTGGGAAGTTCGCAAGATGGAAACAAGACCGTGCTTCGTTGTGCAAAGTTTTATGTTGACTAAGGATTGCATTCTTACGCCTGTAGTATTTCTTGCTTGATAGGGCAGTCTACACCTATTTTCACTTTAGGTGCGAACAAAGTCAAAGCTAGAAGCGCGAGCCGTGCACACGCCAACTTGTACGTTTTTGACTCGCACACGAAATTGTGCAGTGCATGCGGGCATTGAATACTGGCGGCACGCTTGTGTTTTAAGCTTTGGCTTTGTTTGCACATAAGGCGAAACGAAGTATAGACCTTTTCAGGCATCTGTGCACGGACGCGGCTATAACTGACCTTCGCTTTCTGTTTTCATCTGTTCCGTCCAATTCACTTCATTACTGCCGTCCCAGGCCACGTTACTGAAAAGACAAGAGCGCTGTGACTACAGCGTTCTTGATTCTGAAGCAGGCCCCTTATGGGCTTGTAATTGCTTATTTCAGCGTCTGGGCACTTCGGCCGTACAGCAGAAGGTCAGTAATGGCGGCGCGAATCTGGCGCGTGCTAAAAAAGACTATGAATGCTCTTAGAAAAAAAGAAGAGGGAGTCTGCTTGGTGATATTGTTAGAGCAGACCGCCCGTATAGCGGGGGCAAACACACAAAAATAATCATGTCCAGGAGGAATATTTTCATGCATTGCATGCACTAAAGCCTATCTTAGAGAGGAAGCGAGCGAGAAGGCATGTATGGTGGACAGCACAAAATTCCCACGTGATGCCGAAAAGGTCAATTGCACAGTGCACGGCAGGCGCACGCAGGCGCAGCCCTTCCACGTATGGTGCGGCAGCACAAAACGCGTCCCTCATACGCCTTTCCTATGAGTCGCCGTAAGGTCTTCAGTGCGACGTCAGCCTTTGCTGCCGTGCCCGCGACCTGGGAATGATCGAGGGACCCTAACTTCCCCTTTCTCCTCCCCCTCTTACAAATCAAGAATGGTCTGACTCTGGTTGCCCCACCGGCCGGCATTTCAGCTGCAGCAACTTCTTCCCCCAGACTGCACCTATCTTAGAAACGTTCCCACCCCAAGGTCAGCCACATTCGTTCCAACAAGAAAAAAAAAAAAAAGCCCTAAGCACTTTGCTTTGCAGTTTCCAGATCCAAATATAGCACATTCTGTTTTACTTCAAAAGAGCAGTTGAACGCACAATCTCAACGCGTAGTCACTCAATATCATCTCACGGGCTCAAGTAATATCACGGAGTCATTCGATATCACCTCACGAACTCAGATCACGGAGAAACTGAAATCATCTGGCGGACTCAGTCATATCACGAAGTAATTCTATGTCATCTCACGAACTCAAAACTCATATCACGGAGTCATTCGATATCATTTCAGGAGCTCAAAGTGATATCACGGAGTCATTCGAAATCGTCTCACGATCTCAAACTCATATCACGGAGTCGTTCGATATCATCTCACGAGCTCAAACTCATATCACGGAGTCATTCGATATCATATCACGAACTCAGTCATATCACAGAGTCACTCAAATTGACTCAAAATTAGGCAGTGAGTGTGAGTGAGCGTGAGTGAATGAGTTTGTGAGTGAGTTTGTCGAGGTATGCTCCTCAACAGCATAAGGTGGCACTTCGAGGCAGATTCACTATATATTTGAATCAAAAGTCAAAAGCCATTTCGGAAATTGTGAACTGGCTAACATTTTAGCTCAGAGATTTGCAAAGTGGAGGGTCATGACCCCTAGCGGGGTTGTGAGACTATTTGTGGGGGTCGCGGGGGCCTCAAGAAGCCAAGTCACTGTTAAGTATAATTGGAGGGGAGAGGTCGCCGGACGGCATTGGGGTATTCTAGGAGTCATGGGCCTGAAAAGTTTGCGCACCTCTGCTCTAGCTCATCGCATTCAACATGCATCTGCTGATTTTCTGAACTTTGTTAAGTGATAAAGACATTAGTAATGGGGCACAATCATAGAAGTACTACACAATAACTTTGGAAATTGTTTCTTTTTAAAAGAATGACATTGCTTCGAGCCTCGAACCAATTATGGGTTTTTCATGAAGGGAAGTGCAGACGTTGGACATGGACCACTTCACAAGTAGAAAGCCTTCTTTCCCTCGAGAATTTCTCACTCGCCCCTCCTCTCCATGAGTCTCTCCCTCTTTCATTTCAACGCTAGCGCCTCCTAGGCTGCCCTTACGCCGAGCGCCGCAACAGGTAACTGCTCGCAGACCCTTGCTAGGTCGGTGTTTTCTGCGCGATTTTAAATCGCGGCTTTTGTGTTTTCGTTAGGATACACGAGTTGCCGGTATCCACGACGTCTTCGCTACTGGGAATATCTTTCCATTGCTTCCGTCTGGAGCAGGCACGCGAGTTTGGTCGAGGCTTCGGCTGTGCGTCTGCTCGGATCATTTCCAAAACAGCCAACAGCAAATATCATCACTTGTTGTGCCTTTTTGTTTCTGCCTTTACACACCGAAGTGACAACGAGATGAAACAAAAACGTAATGAGTGTTTTGTAAACACGTGCAAGTGATGTAGTGACGCCATGTCATAGCAGCAGCTCGACGACGTTTTTAAAAGCAAAACGCTCGACATACGCTCTACTGATAAAAAAAAGCTTCCACAGGAGGCCAGCAACGTAGTATTTATATATATGTACGCCGCTGGAGGATGCGAGGCCGTTACACGGTAGGGCACAAATGGCGGACGGAAATGGCAAACCAAAATAGGCCGGACGCTCAGCCAATCAGTGGTAGTGGAAAGGGGAACTTGAAAGAAAAGGAGGAGGATTTTTCTAGAAGGTCGGAGTGTGTCCGAGGATCCATCAATGGCACTACTTTTAGTATAGGGGGCAATGCAACAACTTACAAGAAACATTCGACAGTAGCGGCAGCTCTACATTTCGTGGTGGAGTGCCATTCACTGAATGCTGCTTTAGCTGGAATTCTGCACATTCTTGGTATATTCAGACATCTTTCTATGCACGTATGCAAGTTGGTGCCTTGTTCCCTCCCATATTAATCTCACCCTTTAAAAGTACATACGTCACGAGCAAAATCACCATTACTTTCATTGACACGAAGAAGCATGCTCCAGTTAAGACTGTAAATGAGACACAAAACATAGCAGACAAGGAGGAAGCAGCATCCCTACTGTTTGTCTTCGTGGAACTGTGTAGGCCAGAGGCAGTTGGACTGCTCAAACTGGGCTCTGGTCAGGGGCGGGTGCCTGGGCACCTGCACAACTCTCACTTCCGCAGACAGGCCCTGGGCATCAAATGCCTCTCCCAGGACACCCTTTAACGTCTGGGTTCTGGTCAGGTCATCACCTTTTACAGCGTGCAAGATTATGTCCATGCCTGCAAGGAGTTTTAAATACCATCGACTGTATGTACACCAAATTACGATACCCGTGGCAAGTGACGGAGAGTAAATGTTAGGTGCACTAATTACACGGGAATGGTCTACAGTGTTGCCAGAAATGAAACCTGATTGGACAATGAAAATAAATATTTTTTTAATAATTCGCTCGTTTATCGGCCTGCCTCATGTACCCTTTATGGTGGATCCCAGCTGCTCAAACTGTCCCAACATAATTCCAGTCCTTCACATCTGTCATGATAATCTGGCATTCCAAAAACAAGAAAAAAAGAAGTAGGAATACTGCCCCCTGCCCCAGGTAAAAATGTCCGTCAAAATCTCGTATCTATTCGTCAACGGCAGATGTATGAAAGCTATGGTGCTCTTCGCTGTACAGTTTTTTCTTTCTCTACTATTCGTTTCAGTTTCAATGGTGTCAAGAAATTACCACTCTGTACGAGGCGCATACTTGAGTAAATCCCTCGATAATATTTGCCACATTTGATTGTCATGAGCTGTAAGGGACACGCCGAAGCCGAGCTTACAAGTCTCTTCACGCTGACATCGAACCTTAAACGCTCAGACTATGCATCAGTGCCTGGTCTCAAATTCTTCCTCCATCAGCCGTCAAAAGGCAGACATTAGCATGTACAGGTGGTAATAATAGTTATCGAAGTTCCAAGTTCAAAAAGGGTCTACTGGGGTTCAACTGGAATGACCAGCTGAAGGCCACACTGGTCATAGTCATTCCCAACCGGGAGTCAACTGGGAGCTGACATGGGACCAAGTGGTCAGATAGATTCCTGGTAAAAATATGAGTGGCCTTAGCCAGAGGAGGCTATGGCTTAGCAATTTCAACTGGCTCAATCAATCATAGAGTATGATTCATGTAAATCAAGGCTCCTGACCCTCGCCTGTGCAGCGCACCCTCTTCAGATGCTGCTGGTCTCCCAGAGGCAAGGCATCTGAAAGAGATCTATGAAAATTACTTTCAGGAATTAAGTTGTGAACAATAGTATGATCAAAACGCAACAGTTACATACTTGACCAGTTTGGAAGTCTGCCTTCGATCTTCAATTTTCGCAATGTACACAGCAACTGGGGAAGAAAAAAATAAAAAGTTAAAGTCAGTTTGCTGGCGGCCCAAGCCCGAATAAGGCTAACGACATCAATCTTAGAGTACTGATTATACTCCGTTCACCCTTAAAAGAATATTGCAGCTCCCCAGGCCCCATGTATTTCCAATGGCAACTTTTTGATCCGACTGATCAGCAACCACCAGACGGATAGACTTGGGATGGTTTTATTAAAAGGAGGATAAAAAAACAATTTGTAATGTGGTCGCACATTTACCGGTTTTGGGGCTAGCGATTTTCTACGGGAGCTTGGATTCCTTCAAACTGTCCTTTTTTTTCAACCTGCCATACATGAGCAGTTCTGAAAGAAACAGAAGCACTAATCGATTTTCTGACAAGGCATTGCGGAAGGTAATTTTTTTCTTAACATATCTTCAACAAGATCTTCTTTCCATGTATTTCAATAAGGAAATAGGAGGATCAAGTTTGCACTTTGGTGGAAGCCTGAAAATTGCCTTTCCCGATAGATTTTTGCTATCTATCCCGTGCTATCTACCTCTGAGCAACCTTTCATAGTTTTTTTCACAATTGCGGTCATCTTGTGTTAGAGCGCAGCAACGGACTACTTGCATGACCCCGTTTCTTTCAACCGAGTTCAAGGTTTCGGGGTGTGCGCACTGCGAATTATATTTCCTTTTGTGTTTGTGTTTTTAATTAGGGACGTGGGCAGAGCTGTGAGTAAATCACGCAGCCGCCGTTTCTGCAAGCGCCGTGTGGAGGAATGCAAACTTGGCGATTTTTTTCTTCTTTTGGTTTACCCATATCCTTTTTTTGTGTGTGTGCGTGTAATGCTGCGCACTGTTTGCTCAAGTCAGCGGTGTAGCCAGGTATTTTTTTGAGGGGGGTTGATGTGGGTGGAGTGTTCATGATTTGGGTGCCGGGGAGGGCGGAGGGGTGTTGTAGTCCCATAAACTGATCTTGTTGTAGTAGATTTGATCGCAGATAGAGGCTTGTCTTGCTGGGGTTGAGTGGCACCACCGGCAGCCATCGCTTGACGCCAGCTAATGAATGGGACTCTACGGGAGAAACGGGGGAAACTGCAATTTCTCATCTTAGTAGATTGGTCTTGACGATGAAACCATTATCGTGTTTTCTGGGAATGTCAGTTGATGTTCTAGGCACAAATATTAAACGCGGTAGAATACAGATTTTTTTAAAATAAATATTTCGCCTTTGTGCGTCGAGGGATGCGACTTTGTTGGGCGTAAACTGTGATGCGGTTCAATGAGACAATGGTTTCCAGGTCGTGTGAGTCATCGATAGTTTCTCGATATTCGACTAGAAACATTTTTACGATGGTCGACTATTGATAGCATATGCTATTGAGTTTCATGATAGTCGACTATCGATAGTTTTATGATAGTCTACTATCAATAGCACTATCTATAGCTTTTTCACTATCAATCGATAAATTTGGCTTCCATTATCGATAGTATTATCCTTGCATCACTACGTGCGAGTCGTCGTCATTTGTTGGTGACATATCTGTGCTCTTCAACATACATCGTTCCGCGAAAACCTAGCTTGGTGCGTAATGAAAGAAAAATAAATACAGGGCAGCAAGTTGTTGGTTGACGCGAATTTGTAGAAACCACAGGGGCAATCATCTATGAATGCGATAGCATTTATCTTTGCACACCGCCAAATTTTGGGGGAGTAACTGCATTAGTGCATAGGTTGTGACAAATTTTTCTGCTAAATTTAGCGGAGAAACCCCCCTAAAATATAGCATCGTCGGACGACGCTAAATTCTTGTCGTCCTTAATACCACCCTGGAGGTCGTCCTTAAGGTCGTTCCTGGGACGACGTCAAAAACAACATCAGGAATTACATTTAAGGCGAGCTCAAGAACGTCCTCCAGGATGACATCGAGGACGGCGTCAAGGCCGTCAGGTTCTTCGAAGAGGGTGCTAATGTGAAGGAGTGCGTACTGCCGCTTTGCATACGTACAGCACAATGGGGAGCAAGCACTGAGCTGAAATGGACTACTGCGCGTACCTACTGTGCATTAGGCAGCCAGATACCAGATAGACAGAAATTTGTGATGAGTAGCTTTACACACCACCAAATTTAGCGACCAAACTGCATCAGTGCATTGGTCGTGATGTCAATTTTTCCGCTAAATTTAGCAGAGAACTCCCCGCTAAATTTAGCATCGTCCTTTAGGACGACGCTAAATCCTTGTCCTTGATATCACCCTAGAGGTCGCCCTTGAGGTCGTCCTAGATGTCATTCTTAGGAAGACGAAAGAGGTGACATCTAGACTCACCTCCAAGACGACATTTAGGGTGACCTCAAGGACAAACTTTAGGATGACGTCCTAGAGGACGTTCTAGGCGACGACACCGAAGACGACGTCAAGGTCGTCAGGTCCTTTGAAGAGGATGTAAATGTGAAGGAGTGCATACCGGCGCTCCACATACGTGCGGTCCAGTGGGGAGCAAACACCGAGCTGAAATGGTTTACTGTGCATACCTACTGCACATTAGGAGGCCAGATACCAGATAGACAAAAATCTGAGATGAGTAGCTTAATAATGCCATCGCATTAAAAAAATAAGAATACTGTAATATCTTGAGAGATAGTGCACCCAAAATCTATAGGAAAGTAGATGAAAATAAGGTGTGGGCTACCTTTCGGCGTCCCATAAAAAAAAAAAAAAAAGAAAGAAAAAAAAAATGCTTGTTTTAGATTTTGTGATTGTTGAAACTTGTGATCGCAGGAAGGGGCGATGAACCGAAAACGAGAGTCCTTCCCAGTAAGCAATGTTTGATTATCTCCCGCCGTGGTTGAGTAACACTGTTATTGCCGAGGTCACCATTGGTCAGGGCCCTGCAATTACTAAAAGTGGGCTATGTTTTGGTGTTTCAGAACAAATAGCAAATCATGCCAAAAACAGAGGTGGGCTATCTTTCGGGGGCGGGACATCTCTTGGGATATTACAGTACGCACTTAGCAGCTGAACGCCGCAGGCCCTACATAAAAAAGAAAACTTTTCGTTGACCCTTAAGCCGACAGTGCTGTGGGAGCTATGCGCTCACCGAACCAATCAACCACCTCTCTTTCATCACCTGACCCCTTCCTCCGCGTGTGTATGGACGGAAGCGTAATCATGTGGCTAAAGATAGACATAGGACTGATCCGACGAGCACGCACCTTTTGCCATACTGACTAATCCCTGTTGTTCAGGTTTGGGGTGCGAGAAGGACATAAAGAAGTGAGAACAAAATTGGAGGGAGAAATGAAGGAAGTAGGAGAGAAATCTGCCAGAAAGAATTTCTTTTTGCACATCGGGCATGCTCCACCTTCAGCGCGAGCTTTCCGCCTTTGCTAACACAAGTGTAAACGCGCAGGCATGCACAATCAAAGCATTGCGGAAGCCAGTGAGCTCGCGCTGAAGGCGGAGCTCACGACAGCACGAGCTCTCCACCCCCCGCTTCAAAGTCGGCCAGCGTGAAGCGCAATGTGCATCGCGCTCGCGACGTCAAAAGTTCTTGCACGGTCAAGGGTACTGTAGTTGGAGCCTTGCCACTTGGTGGTGTCAACGCGTGACAATCTCGCCTAGCGGTAATATCCGAGGACTGTGTGCCCTATGGCCTATAGATGCTTTAAACAAGCGCCAGATGGAGCCGCCATAGTCGACCTTCTTTTGTTTTACCGAGATGCCAAGCGTCCACAGAGGCCTATGCTGGGGAGAAGAACGCAGTAGCACCTAAAGTGGCAATAACCTGTTTTGCTGTGGTAATGATGAAGTGAAGCGAACGGAGTAAGAGGAAACAAAAACCGTAGGTCGGTTATTGCGGCGCCCATGTAAAGCTGCCTGGAACCGTCTATACATAGCTTACCCGTAACATCATTTGTGGCCATGCCAGTATTTTATGTGCCATGAGCATTCGCTTCACCGTATTAGTTTCACACCGCAGAAGTAGTGCCTTGAGGGCACCAGTAAGTAGAAATAACCGTCAGTACCCAGAAGTGGCGGTTAGCCTGACAGAGGTCCCCGCACCCTCCATATCAAGCTCCTACCTAACGTCTGCAAAGAATGGCGATCTCGATGGTGTGGAATGCACGTTACAGAAGCACTGTAGAGCTGAGACCGCAGCCAATGTCACAACCACGAGAGCTCGAGGCCGCTGCTTTGAAGCGTTGTTTCACAGAACGATCGAGCGCTCGCTCTAGAAATCAAAGTGGACTAGCTCGACTGCACTTGTAGCTTTGGCTGCAGTCTCAGCTTATGAGCGCTCTCCGCCAAGTCACATTCAGGACTAAGTAACTCCACAAGAGAGCCATAGTGCTACGAACTGGTCCTGCTTCTTACAAATTCATGACGTGACAACATTCCAATAGAGCTTCACAGACCGCCACCAGACGCAATTTTAAAATCGGTTCACTTGTTTTAAAATTAGTTCTCTTAACTCCTTTGCCTGCAGCCGAGAAACGCTAATCTAGGCTAGTATTTCTGGGCGGCCAGCACAACATCGACCACATCTAAACAAAGAAATAAAAGCGCAAACATTTAAGGGTGAACGGAGTATGCGCAGCGCAAGTTCGTCTAGCTGCTTCTTGAGCAGGGGTTGTGGTGACGTCAGACAGATGCCGAGCTCTGATTGGAGGATAGTGGGTAGACCTCACAGCAAGCTGCCTTGAAGTTTACCCCCTATCCTTCAATCAGAGCCAATCGGAGCTCGGCGTTCTGACGTCACCACAACCCCTGCAAAAGAAGCAGACGAACTTGTGCCCCGCATAGGATCACTTGTGCCATACCTGTGTCAACAGTCCGAAGATATTCATCTGCTAGAATGGGCTCTAACGTAGACCTCTGGAGCTCCATGCTAGAATCGGTGGCTTGCTTCTTTACGTCGTTGGTTGGCTCGACACCTTTTTTGACACAAGGAGAGAACTTGAGCACATTTGGCCAGTTCACGTCTTCACCGCAAACCTTCGGAAAATGCTATCTTACCCAAAAGTTCTGCCGTGGCTTTTCTCTTTTTCTCCATGGCCTTGTTGCTTGCTTTACATTACGGGCTAGCTCACAGTCAGCGTGTTGACTAAAGTCTAACTAAACCTAAAAAAAAAAAGAGAAATTGAGTTTGATGATTGTTCAAACGGCTCAAACCAGAGTTTTGACCAGACGCTCAAACCGCTCAAACCAAAGCACATACTCGCCTGACGTGCTCGGGAAGACGGAACCAGGGGAGCCAGGGGAACCAGGGACGGCGAGCAAGGAGTTAAAATTGTCAACTCCATTGAGTCAAAAATGGTCATATGACAGATATGACGAATACCTGCTTTCGTTTGGTTTGTTTGCTCAGTATTTAAATTAATTTTATTAATAAGTATAATACTTACCACTTATTTCTGGTAACAATTATGTGTAAGTTGCGAGTTTTCTGACTACTGTAGTTTTCCACCAGGTGCCTTACCTCAAAATGGCGACTTCCATTTGTTAGAAGGCGGCTTGCGGCGGAAGCCAAGCGGGAGCAGACAGGAGTGTTTGTAGCTGAACGCCTGCAAGATTGCTAAACGCACACATTTTCGAAACATGTATTCCTCCTTTGCGCCTCACGTTCGAAATTACCTGCAAGCACTACTTGAGTACGCAGTACAGAACCTTAAAACCACGCATGCAGTTCGTGTCATTAGCGCGGGCGAAGGGTGAGTGTTTACAAATACCTCTCGGCCCGTAGAAATGTCAGATAGTCAGATTCCTCGCTGGTGACGACCTTTGCGCGGACTGTTTTAGAGAAACGTTAATTGCCTAATGTGGTTTACATTTGAGTTAAACTCGTCACTCCGCTTTCGCCTGCAGCGGACCCAGAGATGGTACGAGGCAGTTTTGTGACCGGTTCAAACTGCTACTGCCTTACGCTGGCCAGTCGGTGACATGTAAGTTGACGTCGATTGTGCCGTCGTTTACGTTCCTTAAATGATGCGAGGCACTTCCTTCTCTTTCTCGCAAAGGGGAGGTGATCTTCCAGGCGCACAGGCCGGAGTTCCCACCAGACTTCATCTTCGACGACATGTCGTTCCTGCCGAAGATTGAGGACATACCCGTGAGTTTCCAGCAGTTTTGGCGAAGCCGAGTGACGCTGTCATCGCGGGGTCCCTATCGTTTCGTTGAAACTTTTTTCGTGGAATTACGTTTCGTGGAGAACTTTTTATGGACACAAGTTTCGTCGACACTAACGTTGTTTCGTCGACTCACTGTAGGGACATTTCGTCGCGCGTGTTTCACTGGGGCGCATGTTAACCGATCGGGCGCCCCCGTTTACGACGCTTCGCGGCGACAGTCTGCGGCGGTTCATTAAAAAATGGTTAACTCACCTGACCCACCCATACACGCTGTTGCGCGGCGACAGTCTGATGATGCAGGTTATTACAGAAAAAAAGCTAATCTGAGCTGTCGATGAAACAATTTGTCGATGAAACAATCTGTCGATGAAACGCCGTTCGATGAACTGATTGCCACCAGTCGTCGCGGAACATCACAACACGGATAAACATTGCAATTTCGACACTGCGAAACGGGCAATACAGTCACAACATTTTCCAAGCAAAGCGCAAGTGCGGCCCGAAAGGGTCCGTGATGTTTTGTCGAAACGTGTAGAAGCCCTTTGACAAAACAAACTGTCTATGAATCATCGCAGTGTCGACGAAACAATGTATTGATGAACTGTCATTCGACAAACTGGCAGGTCGTTAAGTTTCAAGATCAGTGTGCAAGGCACTGCGTGCAAATGCATCCAGCCTGGCCCACTTTGGACGAAGCAATTTATTTGCATCGTCTTGATATTGCGACGTGGACCTCCTGCATTTATGTGCAGAGACTTGTGCAGAAACTCACATCAATTTCGTCGACAAGTCGACACAAACACACGACACATTCAACGTTGGTAGTTAATGATGCACAAATATTGCTTTTGTGCAGAGGGACATGAATGATATTGCTATCTGGTGCCCATCTTTTGTATGTGCCGAGTTTATTATATTTTCGTCTCGTTCGTCTCAAATTCCCATTACTCAGTGCTGTGGTCTCAAACTCATTTAAGCACGGGGCCAGATAGCCGACACTGGGAAGGCCGAGGGCCAAAGTTGGATAGATGGGGGGGGGGGAAAAGGAAGGAAAGGGAAGGGGGGGTTCAAGATTTAAAAGAGAAGACACCTCTTGCTCTATGCTTTTCATAAACTCAGTTTTGCAGTGCCATTTTTACGTTTGATTTCTGTATAAGACTTGGGCCCTGACCTGATGTGATAACAATAATTTAAATGACATCGCGCTGCCAGCGTGCTTGCTTTTTTAATAAAACAAGAGAAACAAGTGTATAAAGAAAACAGCGACAAGGCAGTCATTTTAATCCTCTATGGGTGTGCAGTCTGATAATCATTATTGTTCCTAACACAATGATGGTGTTGGAACTGTGATCTCCAATGGCTCTACACCGTGGCTGATCTACTGCCAGAATCTTTGAGGCTAGGAAAGCATGCTGCTCAAATTTTAAATCAAATTTTAAAATCAAACATGAAAGGATGCAACAGGTGAAAGCCATCTTGGCTTTCACCTTGGTCTGTGACATTGTGTGACATCATGACACGACGTTGGGTCATGTGACGGCTTTATAAATTTACAAATTGCTGGCAGCGTGTCCTTCAGTGGCCTCCTTACTGTGCCCGCAGAAGAAATGCGATGAGGCCCTTCAAGTGCTGTGCATTTGGATGCCTTTGGGAAATTAAAAAGAGACTGGCAATTTTTTCCATTTCACCGGTGGAAGTGTTTCTGTGTCGGTCGCTCGTGGCACCAGCTTTTGAGCGCGTCTCAATGCCCACGTCCCCTGACCGGTCTCGCTCTGGTCTCCAGGGGCTCTGGGACTGGGATGCAGACGACGACGGGGCCCTGGTGAAGGTGGTGTTTGAGATGCTGGACGAGTACCGCAAGCACCAGGCCTCCCTACTGGACGACTTTCCCCGTCTCCAGTTTGAGTACTCCTCTCTTGTGCACCAGTCCGACATCCCAGAGACCAACATCCAGGTCCACCTAAACAGGAAGGTAAGGGCCCACACACTCTCCAGGCTGTCCAAAAAACATTGTTGCTCAAATCTCTGTGCCGATTGTCCTTCAAATGTAATTGTGTTTTTCCCAATCTTGTACCACATGAACATTTCTTTATTAAAACTAGTGATGGGCCGAACTTTTGCCGAATCGAAAGTTCGGTGCCGAATCTTGGGATTCGGCGAAGCCGAACTTTGGCCGAACTTTTCTAAAGATTCGGCAAAAATATGTTGTTACCGGACTCGTTGATATTTTGTTTTTTTCTGGCGAAAAAAAGGTTTTTTGTTTCTTTTTTTCTTAACTTAAATGCAACATGTTTATTACATAAGGTGAAATTCTGCAAGATAATTGTATCGGTGTCGTTATTGTGTGTTTACTGGCAATTTTAGTGACTCCTTGCAGAAGTGGCGTGACAACGAGGTTGGGTAGAAACGAGCGTGGCGCAGTCACGAATCACGCTACGAGAGTTTCGGTTTTGAGGCATCATCACCACAAGCCTGCATGTGTGTGTACATTGCTGAAATGAAGGCAATAACGCTGCGTTCTTGCTTTCTCTGGGAGTCACCGTTTTGTGTGCGAAAACGAAAGCAACGGTTGCTGAGCCTTCACCAGAAGGGAGAAGAATAATATTGTAAATATGCATGTTCTCCGATTTGAGTCACTTCGCGTCAGCTTTGCATGAGAGTGTGCGTCCCATATTCGCAACGTCTCGTTTTTTAACCTTTAAAATGCCTGTTTCTGGTGTTAGGACAAACACAAACGTTTCGAAAGATAGAAAGTGCAGGGGTGGAAGCGCTGCGCCAATTGCGCCACCCTGCGCCAATTCACTTCCCTGCGCCAGCCTGCTCCAAAACGCCAATTTCAACTTTTTTTTTTTTTTTTGTGTTTTCTCTAAATTTAGCGGAAAACGGTTGGCCACGGGCCACCATGAGGTGTGTACTTTTGCTTAGGTGTCACTGCGGGTGACTCGTACCAACTCGACTGGGGCTCCGAACCATGTCTAACCTCAGGGCGAGGCGTCGATTTTAGTTCATCGAGAGTGCGATGTCGTTTTTTACTACAAAGAGTTTATATACGAACACATCGGTTTGCCATTTCGTCGTTTACCCTGAGACTGGGGGGTTTTTCAAAAAAAAAACCAGTCTCAGGGTAAACGACGAAATGGTTGACTTCCACCAGCTAGCCTGTACTTTGACTCTTTTCTCGTACATCGGTTTGGTTTCGGGCATAGTTGGTTGGCGCGGTTGGAGCGCGCATGCAGTTGCCCGTGGTCCCGATTTGCCGTGATCGTGGGAGTTGGTGCCTCGGCACCGGTGGGCTACCTTGGCCATTAACATGAGCAGAAGTAAGTGGTCTTTACTAGCTTTACCTGTTATTTGGTAGCCTACCATATTTGGACGCTTAGCCGTGAAGAATCGCGAGCACAGGCACATCCGTTCTCGAGCTCAATTTGTCTTGTCAAAACGAAACCAAAACCATCATTGTGTGCGCGAATGTGCACGCTCTCGTGTGTTGTCTACCGCCGTCAAACCACTGGCGAAAACAATACCCGCGATCTTAAGGGAGTTGGTTAATTGGCAGTGCTACACACTTTTTTGTTTCTTTCCTTTAGCGTGGAGGAGTGGGGGTTACATCAGAAATGCCGTACAACACTCCCGCGCTGCCGATTCCTGTCAAGAACGCACCTTAACTTGCTATAGCCACTCTACTCGTATAAGTTTCTGGTTGGGGAGGGGGGGTTGGGTAGGGTAGGGAGAAGTTGGTGGGCTTTTTGTCACGTAAGAAGGCAGCCTGCCCCGCAGGGATCAGCGCCTGATCAGCTACATCTCATTTCCAGTCTCGTTCAAACTGTCTTCTCTTAAAGCACTTCTACTGAGTGCACAAGAACTCATAAGCAAGGATGAGGCAGTTAAGGACATGGACAAGGTGGGGAGTGGGCACCTCCTGCTAAGAGATGTGAACTCTAAACTGCCCAAAGTACTCGAGCGCATAAAAGAAATTGACTCTGCTCTTCAAACTGTGAAAAAAAAGGTGAACTTTGAGACTTTGTGTTTGTCCGTCCCTTTTTGTTCCAGTCTCGGGGTTTTTATCGAAATGTTTAACCACCGCCAGCTCGTTTGCGCCCTTACCTTTTGAACTTCAGTTGTATCTAAATTACACAGATTCAGCTTAGTCACAACCCTTTTTTTTTGAACATGGAGCCTGTGGGCTCTTCTAGTCAGTGTTTATGCTGCATATGTATTAGTGGCTGTGATATTTTTAAGACAATATATTTTTCCATCCAAAGTAATTAGATATAGCTTTGTATGTTAACTTGGGTGTAGGGATTACTGTATTTTATGAAGAGGGATTAAGAACATTTGTATTTAATGAAAACAGGTCAGCAAGGACTGCTTTATTCTGAAACATGTTGTGGTACCTTAATTTTTTTTATGGAGACACGCAATGCACAGCATTTTATGGAGTACATAAGGTTGCGTTGCTCTTCTAGTCGATGCTTAAAGCTGCATATGTACGAGTGACTGTGGTAGTCTAAAGATATAAAATACACATTTTATTTTGCATCTGAATTTTTGTCAAATGTCAGTAGCCTTGTATTTTGTTACTAAACTTGATATAGGGCTTTTTAAGTAGTGATTGAACATGTGTATTCTTTATTAAACAAAAACTGTAGTCAGCGAAGGTAGTTTATCTGACTCCTTGCAGTGGTTTAGTTTTCTGGATACATGTTTACAATTGGTCTATTAAGTAGACGGTTTTGTACTGGCGTGGCTCAAGTTAGGCTTTTATTGTCGGGGCCTCCCATATAAAGTCTATCATGACTCTGCCTGCTGCCGGAATGGTTCTCAAAGCCTTTCCTGTGCATAAATTGCCAACATTCCATATTTCAATGCAATAGAAATAGAAAAATGTGTATGTATGTTGCTTGAAAATTATTCTGGGATGTGCATGCATATATTTTTGCTACATTTTCACATTTAGAAACAACAAATCACTTTTAGACATTTGTTTGACCTCTGTGACCTGCTGCAAAACCTACTTCTACGGCTACAAAACTTATTTTTGCTGCTCCCGAGCTGCTCTAAAGCGAGCGTTTTACTGCTCCAAAACTGCTCCAAAGTAGGACTTTTGCTGCTCCCAGCCCTGATACAAAAGGCTCTAGCCCGCTTCCACCCCTGAAAGTGAATGTCGGATGTGCATGTCAAGCATTATAATTCTGTGGTCAGTTTTATGCAGATACATTAAAATCGCGAAATAACACCAATTGAAAAAGGAATATGATTTTGTTTTCGCACAAACAATACTTGGGAGCCGAAAACAGAATTGTTATAATTGCGAGGAGAGCTTTAAAGTAATTGTCGGCCAATGTCTCACTTGTGAGTCGAAAACGTAAATTACTGGTCGATCTTCTATTCTTGTGGCAGAAAATATTGAAGAGAACCACACTCGCTCACAAACGCACAGTTACCGTGTTCCTTACCCCACACCGCGCCGTAACCGCTGGTTGTACCAACCTGCACGATGGTAACCGCACGACTGCACCACTGCACGGCGTCTATTTGCAATCCAAGGCTCCGTCGGCTCCGTCGCGTTCTCGCGTGTGCGCACACATTTGCCGAACTTTTGTCGAATCTTTGCCGAACTTTCCTGCAAAAGTTCGGCATGTGCCGAACTTTGCCAAATCTGAAGTTTGGCAGATTCGGTCCATCACTAATTAAAACTGCTTAGCAGCTGCCGCACAAATTATAAGGTTATTTATTTTTTGTCGCCTTCCGCAAGGTCCGTTATCACATTTAAATCCAATTCGCACAATTTATTTATCTAACCGTCTACTCCTGCAGATGGGCCTCCCGGGTGACCGATCAACGGATTTTGTTGTATAATTACTGCAATTCAAATGTTTCTCTCTCACTTTAGGAGTATCAATAATATGTATATAAACACTGGCTGGGACCTTCGTCTAGCTGTTACTTTGCAGCTTTTTGTCCGAGTCCCCCGTTGTCATCTAAAATGATGTGACAACAAATAAAATTTGAACTTGAATAATAACCTTGGCAACTCTATTTGTCAATTGGAAGCTAATATATTCTATCGCATTTGTTAGGCACATCATTCCTGTATTCGCAATCGAAGTAGGCATATGATGAATGCATGCCCGCCTGCTTCGTTGGTTACAAGCCAAGCCCCAGATGCAAAAGTGTATGGGGTTTGCTCAGAAATGCTGGCACATTTAAAAGGTTTAACTCCCCAAGCCTCTGAAAGCAACGAAAGTTGGTGGGCAAACTGTTTTATTGCATGGGGTTGCATTTTACTGCATTTGGGTAAGAGGTCTAGCAGGAAGTCATGTGACTGGAACCCACTGCACATGTGCCAGTCGAAGCACATGGAACAAGCGTGAGCCCATTTTCGTGGCTTTTGTGGGTTTTCGAACGTAATAAGGGTTGCAAATTCTTCCAGCGTGCAGAGCACTCGCAATGCAATTAGAGCTTTATGCTTCACAGTTTGGTCGCGAGTGATATTTGGGCAGATAAATTGGGTTCTTCCCTTGGTAGGCAGCAGTGTCTTGGTTGCCCATCGGTTGAATCTGTGTCCCACCTGGCTGATGACTCTTGCCATCTCTGAGTCTCAAAGGTACAGTCAAGCCTATTTGTAACCCGTCCGGGAGTAGCAAAATATTGGATATAACGAAGCAATGTTTGTCGCACGCTCCTATTTGTATAATTTCAGCGCAGTTTTAGGCCATTTATTAATGAACAAACTCGCGAATATTTGGACGTGTAAAAAAAGGGTTGACGGGTCTATAAACAGTATTATCAAAGAGAGATCGCGATGGTGTATTGATGGGTATGAAAGTATGTTCTTCCATCCACCAGAAACTAATGATGCCGAGACCTTGCTTTTGCAGTTCACCTACCACCTGCGAAAAATTGGTCGTGCTAACAAGTCGGACGAGTTGTCATTATTGCACAAACAATAATCGGAGTCTTTGCTTCATT